AGAAGATCAAGCCTGCCTGCGGGAACAGATGACCCGCATGCAGGCAATAGAAGAACAGATGAGCGCCGTGCGGGCAATGGAAGAAAGGATGAACGCGTTCTTCCGCAACCAGTCACAGTAGTTTTTACTTTATGTAATATTTTAATTTTGTAAATCACATTTAAAAATATTGAAATTTAAATTTAAATTTTGTTTTATTTTAATTTTATTTTAATTTTATTTTATTTTAATTTAATTTTAAATTTTGTTTTATTTTAATTATATTTTAATTTAATTTTTTTTTTAAAAAAAATAATAATTCCGTCGGTTTTGACTACCGTCGGAAATCCGTCGGAAGTTTTGGCCGTCGGAAATCTGTCGGTGACACGTGTCGTCGGAAATCCGTCGGTGGCACGGGTCGTCGGAAATCCGTCGGTGACACGTGTCGTCGAAAATCCGTCGGTGGCACGGATCGTCGGAAATCCGTCGGTGACACGGGTCGTCGGAAATCGGTCGGAGGTTCTCGCCGTCGGAAATCCGTCGGCAATGATTCCGACGGATTTTCGACGGATTCCAGTTATCTTTTTTCCGTCGGAAATCCGTCAGTATTTTCCGATGGATTTCCGACGGTTTTTAATTTTCGACGAGATAGAACCGACGGACCAAAAACGTCGACAAGCCGTCGGAATAGGGCTTATTCCGATGGATTTCTGATGGTTTTGACCGTCGGAAACGGCCCTGTTTTCTTGTAGTGTGTTTAAATTAACAATGATTCACTGGGAAAGCTCATGGACTTGAATGAAGAACCACTGAGAGAGCATGCATCGTTGGCATGATTTTGCTTGTGAGGCTCTGTTCTGGGAAAGCTCATGGACTTGAATGAAGAATCACTCTCACATTTCACAGGGAGAGTGTGTTTGAGGGTTTTGAGTTTCTAGGCCGTTGACAGCACGGTCTCGGGCCTCTTATGTAAGGCTTCTAAGGCTAAGTTTTATATTCGCTCATTCTTCTTTTTCAACTCATCAAGAAGAACAATAAAATCGTCATCGCTTCATCTAACTCCCATAATTTCAACGCTATGGTTGAGTGGATGGACCGAAAACTTTGGTTAATTTAATGCTTCCATGTTTTTATCTTTTTTTTTGTCATAGGACCATTTGGCTAGGTCTATAATCATCGATTGTAAACCTAACTGTTTTCATTTTCATGAAATATTTATATTTTAGT